GCACTTTGGTTCTTTGATATTAATCCTAATTCGTCTCTCAAATGAACGGTTAGTGATAATATCTGCCAAGCCCTAGAAAAGATCGTAATTATTTTATATTTTCAGGTTGTGGGTAGTTTTTTATGGATTCAATTTTCTAAGGATCAAGTGTTATCCTATTGTTTTCTACAATGTGTCCAAGGTATTCAACTGAATCCTGGAAAAAATGTGGCTTTTCGTCGGAAAGTTTTATGTTAGCATTGTGCAGTGTGTTGATTATAGTCCGAAGGTGTTCCATTTGTTCTTCGGGTGTGGAGGAATATATTAAAACATCGTCAATATAAACACATGCAAATTTGCCAATGTATTCTTTAAGGATGTCGTCGACGCATCGTTGAAAACTGGATGGGGCATTCTTTAATCCGAATGGCACCGTTGACGGAAATGCTGTTTTTTCTTGACCTGATTCTTTAATATATAGTATATTTAATGAAAACCTGATTTTAAATCGATTGTGAAAAAAATGTTTGCTTTTCCTAAACTTTGTAAAGTAATATTAATATCGGGTAAGGGATATCTGACAGTAATCGTATGAGCGTTAATTTTGTCAACAACCATCCTTGCCCTTTTTTGGGACAGTTCATATAGGAGAATAATATTAGCTTTTGCTTGGTTGGATTATACCATCATTTGAGAATTTTTCAATTTTTTCCTGAAAAGTCCGGAACTGACATGGAATATGGATAATATTTTGTCCATATCGGATCTTCAGACTGGGTTCTAATTGGCACCTGCATTATTATTTCTTTTCATAAGTTCTTCTACTTGACTTGTTAACTCATTACTACTTACGGTGCAATTTATTTTTATTATATTAATTTTTTTTGTGTCGAATTTTGAGTATATTTTCCTCTGGTATTTTAAATTATATTCGGACAAATTCACTTTCGCTTTTATTTATGAAGTCCTTGTTCTTCAAGAATCATATCGAATTCGAAAAGTTGGTCAATTTCAAAGAAAGTCAAATGATACTCATAAATTGCAATTATTTTTTAGAGCAATTGACTGAGTCAAAAAAGTTTTGTTTTTGAATAGTTTAGTTTTAACTGATTTTCCTATTCTGCAGCTGAAGTTTATATAATTACTAGAGGACCCGTCCACGCTTCACTGTGGCTAATACATAGATAATACTACTACCATCTATATGATTTCTATTAGTTGGATTATAACTATTAGTTAATGAGATATAGCAGTTTTGTGAAGCAACTTGTGTTAGTTTCCAAAAAAATGGATCATAATGCATTGCGTATGTTAATAAAGCATTTCTTTTTTGGGGAAAATACTATTGAATTTGGGCTCTGCATCAGGGAAATCCACCGTTGAAAAGATATTCGCCTCGCATGTTCATAATCCAACAAAAACAACGAATAACTGATTCTGAGAATTGTTTAAGTGCTCTCTAATCAGAATAAAGTCGACTGCACTTGATGAACCGGTTCTCAAGCGTGGAAAGACGAAAAGGGCGGCTGGAAAGGTTATGACATCAGTCTTTTGGGATGCGCCTGGTATAATACTACTCAGCGACTGATTATTGAGCCAGTTATAATCTATTACACTGCATATTTGGTTACAGTTCTTTTCTTCTATTCTAAATACTTAGCACTTGTATTACTTTTGAGGAAGATTATTGTTAAAATTGTACGCATATACTCAATTGATTCCTACAAACATGAATTTTGAACAAATGCTTATGATTTAAAATATAACTTTAGTATTTATGACTCGTATTGGATTTTAACAAAAAGAGATAAAAGGTATGCTTCCTTACCCTGGAAAGCTATCTCCCCACCAATTTTGAGACAAATCTGTTCAGCCGTTCTTGAGTTACAAATGGTATAACTAACACAACTTTCTTTTATATATTAGTTTGTCAAAAAAGTCTTGCGATTTTTTCGCTAGTTGGCGCTGAGGGCGCGTAGTTCTAGTTTTATTCGTCACATCGGGTCATGCTATATCTTTTTGGAGAGCTCATTTCACGCGCTAAAACGTGTTTAATTTATTGTCGTTTCTTTTAAGTCGTTCGTGAGCTATAGCGTCGCAAACATGGAGCAAAATAAGAGAAAAAATGCATCTCAAGCCGCCAATAAAATTTATGCAGTTTATGGACCCGATATAGTTTGCATTTCCACCGCACAATGATGGTTTCAACGTTTTCGTCCTGGTGTAGAGGTGGTGGAAAATGCGTCGAAAATTGCGATAAAGTCGCTGAATTGGTCGAAAGAGACCGGCATAGTAGCAGCCGTAGCATCGGTCAAGAGCTGGGCATGAGTCATCAAAAAAAATTTTATGAACAATTGCAAATTCAATAAAAATACTGCAAGCGTTTTTGACAACCTATTATATGGATTAGTGGATCCTGTGTCCATTAATAGGGTCACGGGCGGACCGAATTTTGTTTGAATGCAGGGCAGCCCGTTCACCCGCCTTAAAAAAGTACACCCTATTTGATGATTTTTTTTTTTTTTTTGCGGGTGAGGGGGTGGAAAATGCCTTCCGCATCATCGGTGCTATCGTCACAACAGCGGTATGTGCCACTTGCAGGTCACTAAAAACCCCCCCTCTAAGGAACCGTCGCCCACCCGGGGACCGCATTTGCATTACTTCAGGGTGGCGTTCCATTTTTCTCTAAGAGATATTTGCATCTGCGCACGTCCAGGTCCCGCTTTTTGCTACGAAGCAAAATTGCTGCGAAATTCTTGATAATCTCCCAGTTTGCTTCGCTCTCCAACATGACGTTGACTAAATTGTCGCGTTTATTGGGCCAACCAGGTTTTTTTCGGCGGTGCGTTCTCGTTGCCAACGTACACATTCAAAGAATGTGTGGTCAGCGTCGTCTTCTGTCGCGTCGTTATATAGGCATGACGGCTCTTCGACTTTTCCCATTCTGTGGGGGTACTTTTTGAAGTATCTGTGACCGGATAATAGCTGGGTTATGTAAAAATCGACTTCTCCGAATTCACGGTTTGTCCATAAGTCTATATTTTTTGCCGCGACTTTCATTCTCCCATCTTTGTTGCCATGTTGTTGTTGTATCTTTCCTTATTTGTTGTACTGCGTTCTTGTTATTATCGGCTGATTTCTTTAGCTCCCACATTTTTTTTTTTTCATATGCTAGAAGCTCAATTGGGGCATTACCGCTTATAACTAATATTGCATCACCTGATACTGTCCGATAGGCTGATGCGACTCTGAGGGCTGCGGTGCGGTGCACCCTGGCCATTATCTTACGCCGGTTTTCCTTCTTAAGCGCGTCTGCCCAGATCTCGGCTCCGTACAGTAAGACGCTGATTGTCGTCGACATTAGGAGCTTTCTCTTTTCTTGGCTGGGGCCACCTATGTTGGCCGTTAATCGGCTCCGTTGAGAGGTGATCTTCGCTGCCTTTCCTGCGGCGTGCTGGATTTGTACCCAGAAGGTTAGTCTGGGTC